TCCACCTCTTTGGGTAGCAAAGTTGAGTGTTGGACTTGTTAAGGGACCTTAATGATTAGGAGACGAATGATTATGTGAGTTTGATCCATTTGCTATCAAGACATTCATGTTCTCCAGAAGCCTTGAATGACCATACGGGGAATATTAGTGTGGGAGAATCCTTTTCAGTAAGGTCTTATTATGCCTTCTTGACTGGGAGTGTTAGAAATAGTGAAAAATTATCATGGAATTTAATTTAGAACATTAAGGCATCCATAAAGAGAATTTTTTTTTTTTGCTTGGGAGGGAAAAGGGGTTGCATTTTAACCCTGGAAAATCTTGCTAAAAGTGGGAAAGATATTATGAACGGTGCTATCTGTGCAAAGGGGCAGCAGCTGCAATCAATCGTCTTCTACTATGGCGCCCTGTATCTTATATTCTGCTATTTGGCTTACAATTATTGGGGCAGAATTAGATTGTGGCTAGATCAGTCAAAGAGGAGCTATACGCATGGAGAGGTATCCACAGAAATAAGCACTATAACAAGCAATTAGGTCTTAACCCCTTGACTACTTGGGTCGTGTGGAAATAGAGAAATAGAGAGCTCTCTATGGTACAAAATTATTTTTTAATATTATTAAGGATGCTCAATTCCAGACCCTAGCTTTTTCCATTAAGGATCATCCTTTTTATTTGGTGATTACTTAAGGGTCGGATTGATATTTTGACTGACATGTATTATTTTTATATATGGGTTGTATTCTCTTAATGCTTTTTATTGTATTATACTTCTTTTAGAAAAAATTCTGTTCTCATAAATTCCATTTTGCAATCATATATCTGTAAGTTTTTGTTTTTTTTTGTGCTTTTTAATGATATATTAGTTTATAAAAGATCTTCGTTTGAACATCTTCATTGTCTACAAACAGCTTCTTCTACAATTAAGTCTAACGAACTTTTCCTCAAAAGATCAACATGTCTATTTTGCCTATTCACACATCTTATAACAAGGACATGTTACTTCTATCAAGAGCATCACAGCAAAAAAATCTATAATCAAAGCAATGCTCAACTAGATAAAGCCAAACACTCAGAGCATTTCCAATTGACACATTTCCAAACATAGCAGTATCACCATCCTTATGGACCATTCAATTGAAGCCAGAGTGGGGCAAGTCACTTACGAGCTGACCCTTCAAGAAGGGTCTGAGCTTCACCCAAAATTTCATGTCTTCTGCCAAAGAAAATCTGCACAAGATAGCTTGCACATGCTGTCAAAGGGGACCTCCTACCTGTTCAATAAGGATCTTGGATTCACCCAAAATTTTATGTCTTCTCCTCGCTTCTCGAACAAAGAAATATAAGAATTGAACAAACTTGAACATTCACTTCTTAATGCAGTCATCTCTTGTGTTGCCTTTTTTGTTAGTATGATCATAATAGCTTGCAATATTTTCATACGACATGCACATATGTAGATATACATATATCTTTATTTATGTTCTATAGAGATCTCGTTTCTCGCTCCCTAAACTGTCTGTGAGCGGCCTCGATGGAGCCAGGGCCTGTCGACGAAATATGATGGAAGATTGGCTCGAGTTCACTTATAGAGCCTAAGTAGTTGAGCTTGACAAAGGTTAGAATTATTGAAGCAAGGGAGAGGCTGGGAGAGGGAGTGAGGGTCTAGGCACTGTCGAACATTGTGTGATAACACCTAGAGGTGTGCGAACATGAAGGCTGGAGACAGGAGATTCCTGGCAGTAAAGCAAAAAACTTTTGATATTGTTGGGGAAAGAAAGGGGGTAAAGATATATGAAAACAGGAGGGATTTCGGAAATCAATGAATTTTTTAGAGGAGGATGTGGCGCGGTTGTTGGCTTGCTTCAGGGAGTTCTTCTGGGTAAAGGGTGGTAAGGTTTGGAGGAGGAGCCAGCGGAGCAGGTACCACACACTATGGATGGCCTTGTGTGGAAACCGTGGGTGGTGGCAGATAATGGGTGCTCTACACAAGGTGGTTGGGTGAAGTTGGTGGAGGTGAAGAACCTTAACAGTGGTAGCCAAAGTGGGCAGATCGTAATGCGGGCTACTGTCCAGTGTCCGTGTTGTAGAGTAGAGCTGGGATTACGACTGGAGATGAGTTATAGTGATTCCTTTGCAGAGGTGTTAAGTCGACCAGGGAGAGATAATGGTCAGGTCAAGAAGAATGGGTGACCAAAACAGTTTGGATATGAGCTGTTTTGAAGTTAATTAACATGACACTAAGCTTGGTCGGTCTGGCCAAAATCAGTTATGTGGGTGGGCGTGATAATAACGGAGGAAATTTGCGGAATGGACCCGACAGGTGTGTCTGGAGTGGGTCGAAGATATGCCTTGGGCGAGAAAGGCAAGTGGATACTGAGAGATGGGCAGGCTGGGTCATCTCGGAGGCCCAAAAGGTCAAGTAGAAGCAATGTCTGGGCTGGAAGAAACAGAAGGGTTGCTCGTTTCGGGCTTGTTTTAAGGTTTAGAAAACAGGGCAGATGATGTTTAAAACAGGCTCGGATCAGCAACACAGTCAGGTTAACCCCACAATCCAATCCCAAGAAAACCCCAGGTCTTGATGAGGATCCAAA